GTGTGTGTGTGGTGGTGTATGGTGTTGTGTGTGGGTGTGTAGGGTGTGTGTGTGTGTTTGTTTTGGTGTGTGTGGTTGTGTGTGTGTGTGTGTGTGTGTGTGTGTGTGTGTGTGTGTGTGTGTGTGTGTGTGTGTGTGTGTGTGTGTGTGTGAGAGAGAGTCTTGTGCGGTGTAATGACTGGCCGCAACTTCTTGTGACCTGACACAACCCTCCTGGGACCTACCCTAGCACCGTCTTACAATGTTGCCCTTAAAAGCTTGTCCCACCTACCTTCTCACACTCGTCAACACTATATTCTCTGTCTATGCTATTTCTATTCTAATTCTGGTAATAACTTGCAGAGTGAGTGACCAGTATCAAACAGTATGCAAGGCCAGCCAGGGCCGTCAACATGCAAACCACAAATAGGCGAATAAACTTGCGGTGACAGTTGCCAGCTGCTGATGACCAAGTCGTCGTCGTAGGCCTTAAATCCCTATTTTGGAGATCCTTCACCCGTGATGATTATAAACATATATTCTCATACATCCCGCTTCCTCACGCAATTTCACTCTTCACTGATGATAGTATACCCTTCACATTATATACACTTCACTTTATATGTATAATGGCACACAACTTGTCGTGACGTCACTTCTTCAGGCCTACCGCTACCAATGTGGCAACAGCGCCTAAGACCCCCAACGGTTTGCGCTTTGAAATATTATGATTTCAGCTTTCCTTTCACTTTCTTTAACTAATAACTTTAATTATCACTCGTAGTATTGTTCACTGACATTCCACTACCACTGATTACTGCTAACTGTTATTGCACGCCATACAACGCTAAGGATCTCGGAGCCTTGTTACCCACGTCTTCACCCCACGGAGCCATGCTACTGTATGTAGCGTGTGTGTGTGTGTGTGTGTGTGTGTGTGTGTGTGTGTGTGTGTGTGTGTGTGTGTGTGTGTGTGTGTGTGTGTGTGTGTGTGTGTGTGTGTGTACTCACCTAATTGTGGTTGCAGGGGTCGAGACTCAGCTCCTGGCCCCGCCTCTTCACTGATCGCTACTGGATCCTCTCTCTCTCTGCTTCCTGAGCTTTGTCATACCTCTTCTTAAAACTATGTATGGTTCCTGCCTCCACTACTTCACTTGCTAGGCTATTCCACTTGCTGACAACTCTATGACTGAAGAAATACTTCCTAACGTCCCTGTGACTCGTCTGAGTCTTCAGCTTCCAGTTGTGACCCCTTGTCCCTGTGTCCCCTCTCTGGAACATCCTATCTCTGTCCACCTTGTCTATTCCCC